CCTTAACTTATCTCAGTATGCTGCACTATCTTGAAAAAGCAGGCGAAAAACCGAGTGGGCGTGTCTTGTAGTCTGGCAGGACTCAGACGTCTGATAAGTTCGGCTCAGCGTAGCCATGAAAGCTAAGAGCTCCACTTACTGTATCATTAATAATTCAAATAAAATGAAGGGTTATGTTCATATAGGCTTAGTAACATGCTAACGGCCGTGTTTAAACATGTTTTGTTCCAAACGGTCTTCAATAGTGATGAATATTAATGAGCTTTTCCCGCGTATCCTACAAAAAGAGTGTTACTCTCCTGTCTAGGAGTTCACATAAGAAGTAAACAAGGGAGAGGGAGGGGCGAGAGAGCGGAAGAGAAGGGCGTTTGGGGAGAGCAGAGGTGGCGCAGCAGAAAACTCAGTGGCTTAATGTTGGAGCTAAAAGTTTCCCCACACGGTAAACAAATGAAAGCTTTTGACTTCATCTCCCTCCTTCCTTCCCACAATGCTCCTGTGCATAATCCCACTGCACTGCAGAAATGTAGAGACAGTGAAGTTCACTGATGAGAAAAAGACACAACAAATAAAAGCAGTCTGGCTCTGTTGGGAGTGATGTCACTGTTCTTATGTGATGATGGAATATTTGAGTCGTTCATCATCAGCACATCATTATCATTAGAGTGTCTCTCATTACTGTAGTTTTCCTCTCCTCCATTACTGAAAATAGCCCAGAACACACACAGCAGGAGCTTCTGACACACACTCACACACACTATCGGCCTGTTTGATGAGTCTCTATATCAGTGACTCACAACAAGCAGCAAATAATGAAGAGTCAGCAGCTCTGAAAGACCTGATTACTGAGATCCTCTCATCTCCTTCACTTCCATTCACTTCTTCTAACTCATGTTTGTGTGACAAGTCATTTCTGAACTCACCATGTAAAGTAGATTTGATCTTCTAAATGAGCTCATTATCTGATGTGTTTCTTCAACACTGTGTGACAGATCTACTTACTCACACACTCACCCTCATCATGTCAGCTACAAATAACACAGAGACTCACATAAGAGCTTTTCACTCCCACCACAGTCTACTGTTCTGTCTGGTGTTCATTAGAGTTTGTGCTGAACATTCATTTTCCTTTTCTACTGTAATTCAGCTGATTCTTTTACTGATCCTCCAAATCACACTGCCCTGCTTTGTAATGGTCAAGGGGAGGTCACACCACACACTGTAAAAAAAATCACTGTAAAAAACAGTAAAATTAAATTAAATTAACGGTATCCTACTGTTGTAAAAATGTACGGTATAATGGCTTATTTTACAAAAACAGGATATAACTGTAATTTAGTACATTTACAGTATAATGCTGCTAGAAATTAACAGTCCATTACCTTTTTTGATGAGGGGTGCACTAACTTTCCTGACAGGTATGGCTACAGATTTTTTTCTGTACTGATAAAAAACATTATGTTTTTACTGCTTCTTAATCTTTTCAGAAACATAACATGCATGAAAGAGTTCATTATTCCAGTGAACAGTTGACATGGCAATTTAAATCATGTGACTTAAAAAAGAGAAAAAAGCAGAATATCTTGCAGTTTATCTTGTTTTATTGTAAATAAAGTCTTGATGACTCCAGTTGCAAACCCATTGCACATGTTTCACATCAGAAAATGTAATTTCAACAAAGAAAAGCATCTAGGCATGAAAATGAACAGCAAATTAAAATTACCCATATAAAAAATATATATTTTTAAAGTGTGCTGTCTTTGGATGGCATGTCAGCATAAACATGAACTTTGACATCAATCTTTGTACAGCAGTCTACAGCTGTATATTCCTGCTTTCCTTCTTTATCCTTCCTTGTTTCTGTCTGTGTCCACCTTTATCTTCCCGTCTGTATCTTGTTCCATGTGCTTTAGATGTTTTGGTCTGTCTCCTCCTCAGTCGTCTGTCCCACCTGGGTGTAGTCTTTAGCCCCACCCTCTTGTTAGCCCCAGGTGTTTCTCAGGTGCTCTTTTGCCTATTATTCCCCTTGGTTTGGTCTGTTCCTTGGTTGGTGTTTTTCGTTTCTTTAGTGCTTTCCTCATTTTTCTTTTGTTTCTGGTTCTTTCTTTGCTACTTTCTCCATGGACAACAATAAAACTGCTAGCCCACACACATATCCTTCCGTCTCATCTCCCAACATGTTACAACAGCTATGACTACTTTTACTTTTTAAGCAGTTACTAGTGTAACTCATTATTAAAACTAAATCCTATTACTAGTAGACTGCCATTGGAGTGCACTTTGAGAGAGTGATGTCACATGGCTGCACTGGACTCAGCACTTCCTTCATTGATTGAGAAATGGCAAGCTAAACGCCTGAAAACAACTAAGAAGGTTGATTGGAAGAGAGCTTGCTGTTTCTCCTTCAATAGACAAGAACCAAATGCAAGGTCTAGTGCAACCATATGAAATCACACTGCAACAATGGGGACTCACTATTAGAGGCATTTTGTCTATATGTTCTAATTAATTTGATTTATTCAACATATTTTAATACTACTGGCCTGGACTAAACTACATAAAAGCTTACAAGTTTCATCAATCATGGTTCCATGTGAAACGGGTGTTAATACCTAACCTTTGAATGAATTTCAGTGTGCATGCAGCTTCTCTTTGGTGCTGAAGATTGATGCTGTATGTTGAAAACACAGAAGCAAGCCTGGTTGAGAAAGCTGGCTGTATGCCATTTACAGATGATGTGTCCCTCACGACTGACCATCCAGCATTCGGTACAGCTCCCCTTTTTCTCACCTGCAAAAAACAAATGAAGAGTTAACCACTGGCAGCAAGGATCGTGCCGTTTTGCTGAAATACAAAATTGTTGTTGACTTATGCAGATTCTTTATAAACCCAGCAAGCAGTATCAGCCGAGGAGTTGCCAGTAGGGTGAGCATCCTCTTCATGTCAGCTGCAGTGGCAAACAACTACCAACAGCTAACAGCTGGCAAAAAGTGAGGAGCCTTAAAAGAACCACTGATCTTTTCAGTGGATGTTTTTTTGAAGAATCATTGTTGTAAATGCTATTTGAGTGTGAAGAACCTTTTTAACAAACGTCCACATAATGTAAAGGTGTTATAGCAGTTACGACTGTACATCCAAGCCAAGAACCATTTATCTTCATTATGAAGATTGTACCATTAAATGTATATTTATGAAAAATGATCATGATAAACACAGTAACCATGTTAGTCACTCATCAGTAAACTGCTTATTTACTCCAAATATGCCCTGCATGTATAAAAATGAAATAGACTTTACTTTGTTGTTCTAAATCCATTCCAGCCTCTTCCACACTGAACTAAACTGTTTCTTCACTCCATTCAGACTTGAAACACATGCAGTCACATTCAACTCCACTCTGGACACTGAAGCTCTTAAACTGCAGCTTTATTATCAGTTACGAAGTGTATTATTATTAATGCTGTGGTATCCAGGCTGCTATGAAGTTAATATGTAAGTTGTGTAGTTAGTGAGCAGAGAGATGAGCTGAAGTGCAGATCACATACCAGTTCCTGCAGTTCAAGGGGTTAAAACTCTTTCCTTTTCAGAGAAGAGATTTTGATTTAAACAGGAATGACTGAGTTCATTTAGCTGTTAACAGATAACAGCACCTCCACCAAAGTGTACAACAGCAACATTAACCAGGTTCAGCACTGACTATCAATTCCAGATTAAACCAACACTGACATTTTACAATATCAAACAAGTGTTCAAAACCATGATTTAATATAAACCTGATAACATGAACCTGCTGCCCTCCTTAAATTCATAAAAACATCAACAGAAAATGTTCAGAACATGCAGAGATCTTTCAGTGTAGAACAACTGTTTAGCACAATGATTCCAAAATGAAGGATGCTGAGCAGAAATGTTTCCTCCATGTTGGACAGTGTTTATTTCAAACATCCAGCTTAGTTTAAGAGTTATTTCTGTATTTTAAAGGACAATTCCACAATTTTAAATTCTTGAATAACTAAAATGTTGACATATAAACAAAACTCATATTTACTTTTGATATGAAACTGTTCATTTAGAGAAACTTACCAACTCAGATTACAGTGGTGTGACAGGAGAAATATACAGTAAAGTGAATAAAAATGTTCCTACATTAGTGTCAGCGGTGCTCTGCATTAGAAACAAACACTGATAAGACACTGAAAGAGCTTTTATAATGTTATCAGTAACTACAGTGTAATATTCACTGATGCTCTGCTTTTGATTCCACATTTACTTCTATCACTTTGCTGAACATCAACAAAATGTTTCAGAGCTTTATTGTGAGTCTGAAAGTGTTGATAAGAGTGATAACAGTAGTGATGTTAGCTGAGCTGTGTTTAACACTCATTAATGCTCTTCTCCCCAAAAGACTGTGTGAAGAACACGGCTGCCTGATGAAGAACCTCCTTCATGATGATGATGAAGGTGTGTGTGAGCCTCTCTCTGAATATTCCTGCTGTAACACTGAGTTTAGTCTAAAAGAGACTCCATCAGACTTCCATCAGATTTCTGTATAATGATCATTTGTTGACTTTACATAACAGTTAATAGTCCTTTCTCTTTCTGTTTAATCATCACTTTATTATTACTGAGATATTTTACTGAGATATTTTGAAAGAAAGAAAAAACTGTCACTGTAATGAAAAATGAACTTCTTTACTGAATATGTAGCAGAAACCACATGACATTGTTATCACTGTTATTAATATTGTTTGTTTTTGTTTTAATATTGTCATATACATCATTAGATATCAAGTCAGTTTGGAAACTGTGAACATATTTTATTTACCTGCTTTTTCGTTGGTCACTCTCACAGTTATCTGATCAGATCTGCCCCCCTGTCTGTTTCTGATAAATTATATTTTGGGAGGATTTGGAAAAGTTGCTGTGCTGGAAATCCTTGAACCAATCTGGCAACCCAGACTGGCGCTCAAAGGCAGTGACTGAATGAAGGTGAAAGTGAAAGTAGTCGCTGCTTCTTCCACTCAGGACGCTGAAGTGGAGAGTCGCATGTGAGATTAGTGGAGAGTTTAAACTCGGTCTTATTTTTAAATGTGGACATATTTCACCAACAGCAGCGATATAACTGTATGAAGAACAGCAAAGGTAAGAGCAGTTAATTGTTTCTCTCTCTCTCTCTCTCTCTCTCTTTCAGACTGAGTGTGAAAATATCTTCAGAGTAGGATAACCCTTCAATGTTCTGCTCAACCATTTGGTAGAGCACATTTTGAGTCACTATATACGCCAGAAAGTGCCATCTCGACCATTGGGTAGACGTGAATACTTTAAAAATTGTAGGGTCAAAAATAATAATAAAAAAAATACACCAATTGTTTTAATTATAGCCCCAAACAAATAAAAAATATGAAAGTCCATTATTCTTTTCTTGGTGAGGACATTAAAGGGATAAAGTAGGATATCATGCTAATCAGGATCACTGATCATTGTGAACATCGAACCTGAGTGAAAAAGAAAAACAACTATAAAACCAGTACATTATAGAGTTTATATATGGTTATGATTATGAGATCATTTATGTGTTTCTGTATGTAAGTGTGAGGAAATCTCTCTCTCTCTGTCTCTCTCTCTCTCTCTCTCTCTCTCTCTCTCTCTCTCTCTCTCTCTCTGTAGGATTGTATTAGTGTGAATCTGTAGGAGGAGATAAAGAGATAAAAATGGCGGCTGCAAGAAACAGTAAGTTAAACTTCCAGAACCTACAAAAGGTTTTACTGTGAACATCATTAAATAATATTCAATCAGAGAGTTTATTTTTATTGTGGAGACACACGAGACACAACTATTAATGTGCGTGTGTGTGTGTGTGTGTTTGTGTTTCTACACAGATGAGTTTAAACTCTTTGGACCCCGTGATGAAGAGCGTCAGTCTCCCTCTGCGGTCACTCTCTCCTGTCACCTGTCTCCTGAAATCAGTGCTGTTGCCATGGAGATCAGGTGGTTTAAGGGGACGGACTGTGTTTGTCTCTATGAGAACGGGCAGGTGACAGAGGGGAGGGGCTACGAGGGCAGAGTGAGTCTGTTCACTCAGGAGCTGCAGAGAGGAAACGTCTCCTTACAGATCAGGGACTGCAGCCCATCAGATACAGGAGATTATCTGTGTCAGGTCACCAATGGAGACACAACAGAGGAGTGTACAGTAGAAGTGTGGATGAGTAAGTATTCCAGAAGTTCACTCTACATAAACTCATCATCATCATCAGCGTCTCAGAATGAAAGATGAAGAGACAGAAATGAGAAACACAGATGTTCAGAATGGTGTTGTGTTCAGATAAAGGAGGTAAAACATACAGAGGATAAATGATGTTAATGTGGAGTGAAGGACAGATGGAGCATTTCAGTAGAAAAAACAGTGACTCTGTTTCTCACTCTGACTCTAAACCTCCACATCATGACTGCACAGTGGAAAACTTACAACTGCAGCTGAACTAAAAAAAAAACTTCTATAAGATCAAAAAGAAAATATTTATAGATACATAATAAAAAGTTGGAACATAAAAGTGAAACTGATTAAATATCCAGTGAAATCTACAGACTGCAGTCAGATCATTGATGCAACACTCACAATATACTGTATATTAATTATTAAAATATTATATGTAATGTGTGACGTCACTACAGGCTGCTGACAGCCTCTCACAAAAAATCCTGTTCTTAACTAATTAAAGCTGCAGATCCACAAACTATAGACACAAAAAGGGGCGTGTTCAGAGTTGAGCTGCGCATGGTGAGGAGATAAAACCAAAACTGCGCATCTTTATTCACACCTCGTAGTCGTATCTGTGGACTCGCGCACTGTTCAGACTCGTTGCGCGCGGGGCGGAGTTCACCAATAAAGAGGCGGGTCTCAGTTCTCCGATTCAGACCCTGAACTTCAGCTCATTTCTCTTGAGCGATGTCCACTCCCGCCAGGAGCTGTATTAAGTCCAGCGCCCCCGTCTGACCGTTTGATGAAACCACAATATTTCAAACTGAAATTGTATACAAACTAATCGAGACCTATTTTCAATATAAATATCATATAAATTCATGCAAACATTCATAAAACAATAAAATATAGATCTTATCTTAATCTTATAATCTTCTAAAGAGTTTAAGGTGAGGAATGTGAGTGAATGTGATCTCCAGCCTGTAGATCTGGTGATGATGGTGAAGATTCTCTACATCTGTAAAATCACAGCAATACTACAGTTTTACAGCTGAGTTATTTCAAGCCAGCTCAGCTTCAGCCTGACAGGACACATCATGGATTTCCATCAACAAACATTCAAGAAAAAAGCTTCATTTATTTAATGAACTCATGCAAAGTTTTAGTTTGAACTCTAAATCAGTTAAGTATCAAAATGTAATACATAGAATTAACTAATTATTACAAAATTAATTAATATTCTTTATTCCATATTATTCCTATATTCATGAATAATAATAATAATAATAATAATAAGAAGAAGAAGAAGAAGAAGAAGAAGAGTGTAAAGGTGGTGCATTTTATTTCCTGATTGTGATGAGGCCAAAAGTAATCACAGTAATTTTGAATTAATTAAAAATAATTTATTTAGATTTGTTTATATATAGTTTTTATATATAAAATACATAACAATTTTATACATAAAACTCTAATAAAGAAGCTCTGTGTGAGGAACTGATGGGTCTGTTAGTCGTTCATTTAGAGAGAGTTTATGTGGTTCTTTAGTGAAGAAGTGTTTCTGAAAAAACTCGCTATTTAACGAACTTTCTTAAAAACATGTTAATGAAGTGATTTTGGGAAACGAACCCAGAATGATCAGCACAGTAAAAAAGCCTGACCTGCTGCTTGACGGCTCTGATTTGAGCTGTTTTCAGCTCTCAGTTCTCCACATAAACCTGAAAACGTGTTGATGGTGTTTGAGCATTCGGCTCTCCTGAAGCTCCGACTCCTGACTGTTACAATAGAGATTCATCTTTTAGTCTTTCATTCAGTTTATTCATTAGTTTTCCTTCAGCTCATGATCCTCATTCATTCATGAAGCTTCAGAACACAAAACTCTCTTCTTATATTTACTGTTTCTTAATGATTTATTTCATATGTTCCTTCATGATCTGTTCCTGATTGACACTATATTAGTTAATAATAGTTATTATATCAGTTCATCTTTTAGTTCATATATCAGTTAATCTTAGTTATTATATGAGTTAATCTGTCTGTTCATTCTGTAAATGTACTTCATCTGATTTTAACTGCTGCAGGAATAAAAACAATTCCTTCTCATTTTTGTTCATCAGTAATGAAGCATAACACATTATTCATTAGTGATAATTACTATATTAGTTCATGAGTTGTTGATGCATAATTACTAGTTTACTAAGGAACCTTATTGTAAAGTGTTACCAGTCATTTCTATAAGGGTTGAGTTTCTGCTGTAGGTTTACACTTTAACTGTTTAGCTGAACGTCTTCATGGAGTTGTACTGAAAGCACTGAGTGACAGTTCATTAGTGAAGGATGAAGAACTACAGTACAGATGAGAAAAGGAGATTCTGATAAGGAGATAAAGAGTTAAAAAGACTGAAATATTATAACTGTAAAAGTGTTTCTCATGGAGATTTGACTAACTTTGTGTTTCCTTCTGTTTTTATTCCACAGTATGGGGGGTAAGTAAATAACTGTGTTTCCTTCTTTCTCTGCTGGTAGTGACTGATTTTATACTCTTATCACATGAACTACATTCAATACAGACATCAAGCAGCTACATAATATTGAGTTTCAGGTAAATTTCACAAGATGAACAAAGTCTCTGATCTCAGAATGAAAGCTGACTTCATCTCCCTCCTTCCTTCCCACAATGCTCCTGTGCATAATCCCACTGCACTGCAGAAATGTAGAGACAGTGAAGTTCACTGATGAGAAAAAGACACAACAAATAAAAGCAGTCTGGCTCTGTTGGGAGTGATGTCACTGTTCTTATGTGATGATGGAATATTTGAGTCGTTCATCATCAGTACATCATTATCATTAGAGTGTCTCTCATTACTGTAGTTTTCCTCTCCTCCATGACTGAAAATAGCCCAGAACACACACAGCAGGAGCTTCTGACACACACTCACACACACTATCTGCCTGTTTGATGAGTCTCTATATCAGTGACTCACAACAAGCAGCAAATAATGAAGAGTCAGCAGCTCTGAAAGACCTGATTACTGAGATCCTCTCATCTCCTTCACTTCCATTCACTTCATTTAAGAATGATCAGCTTCTCTTATTCAGTCTGCAGCTCTCTCTCATCTCCAGCCTGCTCTTCTACTCATGTGCTCCAGTTTAACAGTTCATATTCTCCTCCACTACAAAGCAGCTCCACCTGTGTTCCTTCAGTGTGTGGAGGAGTTCTAGATGGACTGGTGAGGCATCATTTAGTCCACAGTCCTTCTTTACACATGACTTCAAGCTTCACATCTCCAGACTATTTATAGGAGGTGATTAATAGAAGAGGGAGATGTGCACAGCAGACTGAAATAGAGATGATTGTTTGGATTTTGATACAGTGATTCTAAAAGGATACTAATTTCATTATAACACTTAAATATTTTGGTGCTTATTGTCTCTAAAATGTAATGTTCAGTTGTGAATTATAAAACATACACAATGAGCTCTGAGTAGAGTATAAAGTAGTATAAGAGTAGTATAAAGTTTTTCACTGCTGCCCAGTTTATAATCAGCCTCATCCAAACAGAAATCTCATCTAATTAATGTTCTGGAGGTCAAATTCATTCACTAATCAGTTTCTCCTCTCCAGCATTTCCGCGTCCGGGAGGTGAGTTCACTGATTTTTTAATTCAATTAATTTGAGAATAGTTTTATTAATTTGTAATTAGAAAATGATAAAGTAGTTAATGTTATATATTCTGTATTATATAATATTAATATTAGAGTGTTGTTTCTGTATTATCACTGTATTAACTCCCTTATCATCACCCTAACGACTGTTGATTTGTTCAGATGTTCAGTTTTACTCCTGTTATAAAATCCTGCTCTAACTCTCTGCTTTAATCTCTTCTTCCACCTGAGTTTAGATTTTTCAATCAGCTACAATCAGCAGAGTCTCTACTGTTAGTAATATCAGCTCTCAGTGATTCACACTGACACACCAACCATCATCACATCTTCACTCTGTTTTATTCTCTTCTACAGTGTTACTTAGAATAGACAGAAGAGGACTGAAACAAAATGAAGGAATCTCTTCAGCTTATGGGTGACTTTTAAAGGAGACACAAAATAAAACACAATGACAGTTAACCCTGTTAAATTCCAGTGTTGTAATGTGGGCAATTTTCTCAAAACCATCTTTTTTTTCTATAATTAAAAATATTATTTTTAATATGAACCCCATTTCCGGAAAAGTTGGGACATTTTGGAAAATGCAATAAAAACAAGAATCTGTGAAAAATATTGGGACAGAGTCATGTTTATCACTGTGTTACATCACCTTTCCTTTAAACTGTTTAATCATTCAGGAACTGAGGAAACTGTTTGCTGTAATTTTCTGTTGTTGTCAGTATCTGATTCTCTTCTTCATGATGTGCCAAACATTTTCGATAGAGACAGATCTGGACTGCAGGCAGGCCAGTCGAGCACGCAGCAGGGTTTTAAAGGGTTAAAAATTTTAAATATTGTAAATATTTGTTGAAGAGGTGCGGCCGATTCTGTAGAACCACTTAAGATGGTCTGGATTCTTAACAATTTGACAGACCTGATTACTATTGGATATTAAACTGTAGAATTCTGGGAATTCGGCTTCTTTTGTTGGTTCTTCACTCTGATCACCAGCATTTTTATCGTTGAAGTGATCTTAGCTCATCTCTGTGTGACTCTGTGTAGCTGCTGTGAGAGTGCAGATGGTGTCAGGTGATGAGGGAAGTGTCTGATAGGTCTGAAGGAGGAAGCTGTATTTAGGAATCTTCTCATTAAATGCAGTGATTTGATGAACAGTGGAATAGAGAGTAGAATAACCAGCTTTAACTAAAACACATTCTACTGCTGTCAGCTTTGCTCAGATCAGTAAAGTCTCAGTTAGAAATCAGTGCAGCTGTGCACTGTTAGAAATAAAGGTACCTTACAGGTACATTTCTTGTTCATCAAGGTACAAACAGTGTAAATGTGCCCTCAAATGTACAACAGTGGTTTTAAAGTCCAATTATGCACCTTAAATGAGTTTTTCCAGGTGAAAAGAACATATTTCTATCTTTTCATAACCCAAAGTTTTAAAAGAGAACAATAAAATAAAAGCCTGGAGACGAGACGGGGTGTGTGGAGTCAATACAGCTTAGAAAATATCATTTCAATGGATTACAATGGTACAGTTATGTTCCCTGACTAAAGGTACTGAGATGGACCCTTGAGAGTCCCACCCCAATGACAAGAAGGGTCCTGCCCCAGTGACAGTTGTGAG